TATTCACCACAAAGTGTTGTATAACTTGGTTGCATTTCATTCTTGTATGTCATCTCACTAGTCTAAACTCTTTTTACCGTCTACTGACCTTCATTCAGAACAAATCGCCACTCATAATGACTACAATACATTCTCCAGCGCCAGTTTCTCGTCGTACAATTCGTTTTGCGCCTTTACCAGATCCACGTCGCTCCGTACTCGTCACTGACGATGGTACTGAACTCCCTCTATTGTCTCCACCTCTTCTCGAAGGTCCGAACTTCGACTTGCTCGCTTCTAAACTCGAGCTCCCTTCTACAAGCGCATCTGATCTAGCGAGTATTCCTGCTGCTCTATCGCTTTCAGCTCTCAGCTCTCCTGCACAAACTCCCTTACAAACTCCTCAGAGCTGGAATGTCTCTTTGCCCGATGTGGTTTCCTCTCCTACCGCTTCTCCAGCACCTTCTCCATCCACATACGAAAAGACACTTTCCTCAGAGTCAGAAGGTTCCAACAGCTCGAACACCTCATCTAGTTCATCTCCGCCAACATCTGAAATATCTTCTTCTGCATCTTCTATGTATTCTCTGACGCCGACGCAAAGTATTGATAAATACTCAGCCTCAACCGGCTCTTCTACTCCAACTCAACCCGTGCGCAAGTCTACCTCATTGAGGAGCAAACTCTCCTCCAAGTACAACCTCTCCACGGATCAGATTCTTACCCTCGGTACTATTAACCTCTTCCGTCGCGGGTCAAAAGGCAAGGATAGAGACGATTCAGACACCGATTCTATTTCAAGTGCTCAAGGATGGGGTACTGCGCTGAGTCGTTGGACTAGTTCAGGTTCTGGAGGGTTCGGTCGTGATGGTGTAGGTGTTCCCATGCACCGGACACAAAGTACCCAAAGTTACAAAGGCGAAAACGTCAGGGTGAGCTGCAGTTCCTTTTTCCGAGTAACGATCATATCCTGATACATGATTGATGCCTGCCCAGAATGCAAAACGCTCCTCTTCACCCGCCTCCATCAGAGCCCGGAACAAGCCACGTTCCAGCTCGGCTTCATCCAGACTGAACCCAGCACATGAAAATGGAATGCTCAGCACATTACACACCGGCCAATCAAAAAAGGGAACTCGGATGTTGAATGGAAGGGTTTATGGAGCGAAAAGAGGAAGCGTTAGTGGTAAGTCCTATCTCTTTCTTCTCCCTCGAACCGGTTTTGGACAATCTTCTATCCCTGTCCTTACTTCGTGCATTGGTATAAATATCGGTGCCATTGCTCCTTCATGAGCACATAGATGACATCGGTGAGACGTTGGCACCATATCGGCGGTACAACAAGTTCCATGGGGCACGCTCAGGTGTTCTCATCGATAATTCTGGCAAACGGTCTATGAGAGGCTTCTTTTTTCTTCGCTCCCTGCACGTTGTTTGATCCAATCACATTTCACACTGCGTGTTTTCTGACTCTTCTTCACTTCCTAGGATCACAAGCCAATCCTTTCGCTAACGCTAAGGACGACCCAGACCCTGAGTTCGTGGAGTGGGGTTATGGCGGTATGGGTAGTGTGAAAAACGTGCAAGACGGCGTCGGCGGAACCGTCTGGGGTCGAGTGCTTAGCAACGGCACGAGCGTCATGGATTCGGGTTGCCCTGAGAAACAAGCAAGTACTGGAAGGACGTTACAGAATGGAGGAGCAAGGGATGACGAGGACGACGGTAGTGGTATGGGGTGGGTCAGAAAGAGGAGAGAGCAAAGAGCCAAAGAGGCCGCGGAGAAGGCGGAGCAAGAGAGGCAAGAACGTGAAGCACAGGAGAAGGCGAAAGCAAATGAAACCAATGAATCAGACACATCGGACTCGCGCTCGTTTGCTTCAACTACTACCACTGGCACAGCTGGTACCGCGACTTCGACGCTCACAACAGGCAACACGAAGAGTGTCCCAGCTCCACTTCCACTTCCAGACGGCGGGGAACCAGATGTTCTGAGCACAGATGGTATCGCATCGCCTCTGGGATCATCCACTCCCACATTTGGATCAACCATGATCACTCCTACTCCGAGTACCGTCGGTACACCCAAGCCTCGTGCTATCGAAGGTGTATTATCATCTCCGTCCAGCCCAGAACGCAATGTCGTCTCTCCAGTCCTTCGAGCCGCTTCTATGTCCCGACAGTCTTCTAATGCGCCCACAATCTCAAATCTGGGTGGAAGTAAGGATGAACAGCAGCACGTGTTGACTGCGGTCAACGTTCCCGCCCCTCCTCCAATGAGCAAGCATCACTCTTCTCATCATAGTCGGGGCAAGTCCTTGCTGGATGCCATCCCAAAGATCGAGTCTATCCAAGGCAAGGCAGAACCTACTGCCGACGAAAATAAGGACCTTCCTGTCTCTGAATCAACTGTGGGAGAAAAAGCGGCGGAAGACCAAGCCGCTGATATTCAACAGAGTGTCGAAGAACCAGAAACCAACAAAAGCCTCAAATCTCGCCACAGTTCTGTTTCTTCTACTTCTTCCTCAGCATCCTCAGCATCCTCTCAGTCCGAGTCTGAATCCGATTCAGAGTCGGAGAAGAATGCTAATGACAGTGACGAAGAGGAGGAAGATGAGGAGGATGAAGATGAGAGTGAAGAAGAGAAAGACAGAAAGACTAGCTTAGGCGCTGGTGTTGAAAAGATCAGTCGACATAAATAGGTTTCCCTCCCGCGTTCTGGCACCTGTCCGACTCCCCCCGCCCCGATGACCGAGTAACCTACGTCCTACTCGGTCGTTACTTGGTTCAATTGTACATTGTCCTGCAAAGCTCACCCCACTCCGTTTATTCTCTACTTGCATTGCATCTCATATACCCTTCGAGGCATTGTTATTTATCTCTCTCTCTTTCTTCAGGTGCTCAATCTCTGTCACGGTGTCGTCATATTCGCATATTCGTCAAATTCTTCTCATTCACTCTTTCCCCAATCTCTCTCGCCACAAGTCATATCTGAGTCCGCGTTTCTATGTGGACTCTTCATAGCCTCTCTGATATCCTACGTAAAAACATTTTAACCGTCTAGATTACCCAGGACAGTGTACATATTCGATTTTCTCTTGCTTTTCTCGAACCCGACCTACCAGTTATTTTCTGTATCATATGTCTTTTGGGGCTTTAGGAGATGTCTGCTCTTGTTACCTATCCAAGTATCACTTTGAAATATTGGTATCTAATGACATTTATCTGTGCCAGGTGTTCCTCGAGTACCAAAGATGCTCACTGTGTTCGTGCTCGATGCACATTCTCGGACCGGGTCCCAATTGGGGTAGATCTAGAGGGAAGCATAAGAGTACCTGGGTATGGGGTAGAGTTCACGATCGAACCTCGTGAACTGGGGAAAGTATACTATACTGTACAGTATATTCAGACCCGGGAGGTCGATGTCTCCGCGAACACAATCCACGCCCAGTTTTCATGCCGTCATATATCCATTTCGCTCTCATCGCAAACTTCGAGGTAGAGAATCATGTTTTCCGGTCTTGTGCATCGATTTCTCATGAACGGTCGAAGCTGACATACAACTTGGAGAAGCCACATTCTAGAACTCTAAAATATACCGGTCAGGATCTGTATGACGAGTTATCTGATGAAAAGTAAGTAGACGCGGAAGACCTCAAACACTCTTTCATTTTTGCAACGAGAACACGACGCTGCTGTTAGAGACTATTCACATCCAAAAGATCGATCGTGAAGTCGACTCTAGTACTCAACCTTAGAGGATGAAGAGGCAGTGATCTTCTAGGCCCCGGTAGATGAAGTAGTTGTGGGCGATAACCTTGTGGGGTTAGAGTTAAAATCCTACTGTAGAACTTTCGTATTTGAACTAGTTCGACGAAAGCAGTAAACATTTCGCAGAACCTATGAACTCGGAAGATTTGTCCGACGTGGTAGGAGGGTACCTTCAACCCTCCTTCACTTCTGGTACATCGTTTTTCCATTTTACACCAGCCGCTGAAGCAGCCTCGATCGCAATCCGTCGTACGGCCTTGACTTCTTCGAGGCTAGCACCATTTCTGTATGCTCCGGCCAGATGCCAGTTAATCTGGAGAGGCGTGTCGTTAGCGATGAGAGAGGCAACGAGGACGTAGGATGTCTCGAGAGGCGAGAGGATGTCGGTGAAACCATATGTATACCCATAACCAATAGTGTTTGAGAAATAGCCTGTTATTCATTTAGTGAGCAGCGGTAGGAACAGGCTAACCATGCTCGTATACAAACCCATGTCCGGATAGATAGTGTCTAAAAGAGTTTGAACAGAGTCTGCGGTATCACCGTACGTCTCTCTAAAGAAAGCACGCCCAATCCGTTCGTGATCCTGTATGGAGGTTGATGTATCTCTACCAGCATCAACATATACATCGATTAGTCATTTTGGTTAATACAAAGAGCATCTTGAGCGGACTGTACCTCAACATCTTTGTATCCTTCAAGTCCGGAGGCATTACTTCGTGTAGCGCGGCTAGGCTATTAATTGCCTTCGTGGAAGGGGGTGGTCCACAAACCATCATTAGATCGACTATACTACCACCAATTGCATCAAACCCTTCTCACTTTTGAATATCCGCTGGTCAATCCAGACTTGAACAATGCATCACGGAATTTGCGTGCCAGGAGTAGCCTCTGCTCATATTCTTCTCCGATATCTGTGAGAGCATATTGAAAGACCTCTGTTACAGCTTGAGGCTCGTTACTGGCACTGAACGCAACAGCAGACACGATGTACCAAGGGTTGCCTGTGCCAACAATCAAACAATGTTCATGATTGCCAGAGCTGACACGAGCCCACCGCTCACCATTAGTCGTCTTGATTGGATAAATGGATCTCAGAGTGCTCAAGAGCGTCGTCGTAGTCTTGAAAGGCATCAAATAGCATTGAATTTGATGAAAGTTGGTTGGGAAGAATCTCTTTTGAAATTGAGAGCGGGACAGAATCTGAAAAAGTTTACTCAAGGTTCACTGCTATTGTGACCATCAAAAAGCAACCGACCATAGCTCAGTTGGAAGAGCACAAGACTGTAATTGGTTCACTTATCTTGGGGTCGCCTGTTCGAACCAGGCTGGTCGGATGGCGCACCATCCAACAATGTAGTGCATTTTTTGATTGCTTTGATTCCTCGGGCAGCATGGGCCTGCATGAGGGTATTTTTTTATCTCAAGCAGCCGTCGACATCTTTGAAATGGCCCGGGTTACACTGGATCAAAGCTCTGCGTGCATTTCGATTGAGGATTTTTGAATTCATCCGTCTTCCAGTGACGAATCTACATTGTCAAGTTCTACTACATATGTCCCAGATGCCATTCCGAGATCCTTCTCAGCATCGCATACGCATAGGCGTGAAAGGCAGCGCTCATGGCTCGTATCCTGAAGAATAGCCAAAGCCCTTTCTGCTACAAGATTTTTCGAAACTAGCAAACTCGCTGAAATGACTGGCCCTGCTATCACAGTACCATGAAGCACAACTTGGGTACCTTCACACTCTCCCTGCTTAACCACACTTTGCAAGAAATATGAAGGTCAATTTTCTTATCAAACGAGATGATTCTGTTTCACTCACATAAACTCGATTGGCGCTCGACATACAGAGGCTGCAATCCAATGCACGAGTGCCGAGATTGGATCCAGAGGAATTGAAGGTGAGAGTAGGTTGAGTATTTCTTGCATTGCAAATTCCACTACACAAGCGGTTCTCTCGTAGTCATAACCGGAGTCAATCAGTACAGCGCCAATCACGCTTTCGAAAACGTCGCTGAGTACTTTCGGAGGGTCAAGTTTCCAGCCAGTATTCACAATTGCTTGGGCAGATGTTCCTTGTAGATGAGGAACATAGCCGTCGATAGCTTTGCTAAGGCCGACGTTGTTGAGTAATATGACTTGATGTAATTCTAACTTCTTGACCGCGAGAAACGCAAGCGCTTGTGAGCAGACAGCCTTGGTTCGAGGTAGTGCTAGCTGAGCCGATTCAGCTTGAGGGAACTTATTGTATAAGTAATGGATCACGACTAGATCCAGGAGAGCTGGGAAAAACACGTCAAGAAAACTCCCTGAAATCTACGACAAAGAAGCTCACCATCACCCAAAAACTCTAAACGTTGATAAGAGGGTATAATCTCGGCTTCAGACGCAAAGGAAGGATGCGTCAAGGCTTCCCGTAAAAGGTATACGTTGTTGAAATCGTACCCCAGTTGGTCCTGCAACCTGGTGTACATTGGGGGTATCATTGTATTCTCTACTCGGGAGTATCTCAATGACCAATGACTGGGTCCTCCAAACGTCAGCCCGAGTGCATTCCCGGCTTGCAATGCCATTGGAATCCCGCCGGTGAGAAATGCAGCCCCAAGAGTGGCTTCCATGCAGTCTTGTAAACTCCTTCGAGGATAGCTTCTCGAGGCAAAACACAGAGGCCCTGATTCGTGATCCTTGACCTCGATATGGCTTTTCCATGACCTGACTGTCATAGGTTCGCTGGTTATGAACGCATCAAGGTTAACCTCTAATGCACGATACATCAGGAAGCGATTACAGATTGACTGTTGGCGAATAATGGAAAGCTGCCCTTCGTGTCGATGGGGAAATTTGTTCATCAGGTGAACGGTGGTGCATACTTCTAGTACCGCGTCTCCGAGTGTTTCTAGCCTCTGATTGTTGAATGGAGCAAGTGTACTGGGAATCGTGAGTGCTGATACCATTAGATCATCGTTGATTGGAGGCAAGCTGAGACGAAACTTGGCTGCACGAGCGCGATAGATGTCCGTTATCCGCCGTGCTAGAGTGGGTAGGATGTGGAATATACGAGACACCTCAACCGACATGCTCAACCAGTTGCAACAGCCTTGAGGAATAATAAACTTCTCGCTGAGTTCTACATTCGGTTCTTCAATACTCGTTGTCAAAATCTGGGTACTCTTGGATCGTATGAGCCTTGACAGCTCAACCATTGGGCCTGTGGTAGGGATGACAGGAGCCCAACCATTACGATTTTTACCAGACTTGGGTGACCAACGTTTGAGATAGTAATCGTAATAGGTTTGTGGCGAATCATCGGTGCTGATCAACGACATAGGCGTGAGGTCAGGACGCAGACCACGTAGAAGCCAAGTTCGCCCGTGTTGGTTGACGTTATAAACTAACAAATGGTCGAGATGTGTTTCAGCGATACTCGACCAATCCGAGCTGCCGTTGGGGTTTGCAACAAGTTCTTCCATCGAATAAAAATCGATGTCACCAGACGACATCAAAGGGACGAGGAAGAAGCTGGTGTATCCAACAAAGGGAGAGGCGCTGATGCGGATGTTTACACCGAGTTTGGTGTAGTCCTCCATCAATCGTAGATACTCCATCTCTTTGTTCGACGGCAGTTCAAGCAAGCGGCCGCATTGTGTTTCTACAATGCTACCGAGATGATCAATCTGGACAGGTTCTAATCGAGAACTGGTTATCAGGCCTGCCATAACTTTGCCATCCAGAGAAATAGGATGCACATATAAATTGTGCGAGATGAGCCAAGGATCTCTGACCTGTACATCCATCGTGGGCGGAACATGGCTCATATCCGGGACCGGTTTCCCTTCAGCATCCTGGAAATCTTTACCTCGCCCACTTCCAATAGGCAAAAGATAGTCGTCGAACACGTCTAGGTGATGTAGACGTTTGACCGCCAAGAATGCTACCGCACGCTTAGCTTCTTTCTTGCTCCCTTTGACTGGGCCTAGATAAACTAGGTCTTTTGGTGGGAGGGGTAACGAAGCAGGGAGATGTAGCGTAGACCGAAACTCGCCAGTGTATACTGGGGCAGGTTGGGGGGTGTAAAGATCGTGTGGGATGAGGGAGCAAAGATGGCTAATCAACGATAGTGCACTATCGTAGGTCACGAACGCTCGAGTAGACGGGACAGTATATCGTTCTCTGCTGGCCATGTCCGCCGGGATTTCCCCCTCCTCCTCCTCTTCATCGTCATCGTGGTTCAGAGCTTTCGTCGAATCTTGGAATAATCCCAGCTGAGCTTGGTAAGCTTCCCTCAGTTTCGGTTCGGTGTCGATGAACTTCTTATATCGTTCCTGAAACGCCAAGTCGTCTTCTTGTATCATGACTATGAAGTTGGATAGTTTGTTGCGCGCGCGTCCTCGCGATTGCACGTAACCGACGACATGGTCCAAGGAATCGAAGCGGATGACGACGTCACATGCCTTATGAGATGAACGTTTCAGTCGTTCAGGATTTAACATCACAGGATGGACGGACATACAGGAAAGTCTAGACCTTCTTCAGCAACGGACGTGGCGACAACTTGTCAGGGAGTCAGATGAAAGAGGGACACTAGACAGACAACGTCCTCACGTAGATTGAGTTTATGTTCCCGAAATGCTTGAGCAACCTGCTCTTGTCCGGCATCGCCTGTAAACCGTTCCGATCCACCCACACCACCAACAAACGAACCGCATTTGAACAAACCGATCAGTTCCGGTATTTGAGGAAGAATTTTCGCCAAGCATGCCGCGATTTGGCGCTGTTCGACGAAGATGATTCCTTGGAAGGTAGGCGAATGATGTGCGCGAAGTATGTCGACCAGTGTTCGCACCTTTGGAGTACACCAGCTCAAGGGAACCAAAACCGGCAGCAAAGAAGGATCATCCGGTTTGGTGAAGAAGGACTGATAATCAACCAAGACATCTGCGATATCGAACAGCTCTGATGGTATCTTCTGAGGAGATGAGCTACGCAGAATAGCATGCTCTTCGCGTTCCGCCTCTCCAGTAAGACTATAGATATTGAACAGACGGATGATAGCATTTGACGCTTCCGTGAAGAGGTACAACGATGCGGCGTAGGGTCCCAGATTTTGCAGTGTGACATAGTACCGCCGTTGGATGTCTTGCCACTGAGAGCCGTTTTCCAAGTCAACATCCTTGAGAAATGCGAACACATTTAGGGTATCCCAGATAGAAGGTGAAGGATAGTCGTATGTCTCTGGTGCCGGGGCATAAAGCTTCATCATCTGATCAACGAATCAATCGAGTTGCAAAGTTCCACCAGAGTAATCATTAACATACCTCGATGGGTTTCGGAGAGTGTTCCGAGAGCTCACCGGCATGCTCCCGGACACCAATCACTTTAGCGTCCAGGGTATCCTCTAAAACCTTGAGCGATGTCGCTGGATCCTTCGGATTCCAGATCGGAGAAGCTGTCATGCCAAACACCTTGGGTCGCCTCTCCGGTGAGCATTGCGTGTACTCGTGCATGATGATAGCGTAAGGATGTTTCTTTCTAGCATGATGACATTCGTCAAAAACCAACAAGGAAACCTGTGGTTAGAAGGGTAACTTTGAAAATGTGGCGTAAGTAGTGAGAACCCAATACACACTTCTTCCATCCTTAAGAGGGAGTGGGTCATGAAGTTTAGGAATATCTGGGCTAAAATGTACAATGAATGAGCCCAGGACTTGTACAATTGGATGCTCGAGTTGTAGCGAGCGATAGTGAAAACATGAAGGAGAAGTGTTTCTTTCCGCTCCATGAATCCATTATCTCCGCCAAACCCAGCAGATCCAATCATATTTCGGACCATCGACGAGAAGAGAGCAAAAATACAAAGCCACGAACCAGTAAGAACAAAAACATCATGTTTCTCGAACTTCTGCTTCCATCCAGAACGATCAGATACATCGATATTGGACGATCCGTGTAATTTGAGGACGCGTAAAGAGGAATGATGAGAGATGAAGTTGCCTTGTTGCTCGACCAGAGGAACCTTTGGGACGAAGAAGAAGATTTTACGGCTATCGAGGTCCTTTGCTGCGATCCATTTAACGAGGAGAGTGCTGATGAAGGTTTTGCCACTGCCAGTATCGAGAGCGGCGATGATGTTTCGATGCTGGGCCTGGGTGAAGATCTCTTCTTGATACTTGCGAGGCAGAAGGGCGGTTATGGACGAGCTGGAAGGCATGAGAAGGAGAAGGATGGCCTGCGCCTACATAAATAAACAGTCAACAACGCCGCAGTGGAAGAGAAGGAATGACCAGCGCCTAAATCTTGCTTTCCTTCTCTCATCCTCTCATCACTATCCTCGTC